ATTTACTTTAAGTTTAAAAGTAATTAAATAATTAAAAATTATATAAATTAATTAATAACACTCGATTTTTCATATAATTAATGATAAAAGTGATCGATTTTAAACCCGACGCCATTAGTATCTTTGGGCGGCGGAAGTATCCATTTGTCCGTGTGTCGGTTCTTCGTACCTTCGAGGAAAGTCGTCTTTAGCCTTTCTGATCCGGATTTGACCGAAAAGGGGATATTGTTACCTAAAATCACTTTTAATTCATCTTAAATGGCTTTGAAACGTATCAACAAGGTATCTCTATTTACTCAATTATACGTTGTTTATGATATGTTCAATCTTAACTCGGTTCATTAAGCCTAAACGTAAGAAATCCTCAGTTGCAAACAATTTTCAGGCGCTTCTTTTGTTAAGGATTGATTAAAATAATAAGTGATTAGCAATTATTTTTACGTTAAAAGATAGAATGATAAGTGTATCGATTCGTCTGGTCTCGTTCTTCGCTATAATCCGCGTTATTACCGAAAAAAAATCGTCTGTGCGTATTTATTATGAAGACGATTAGGCTTAAAGTTCGATAGAGAAATTAGCTTTTGATTCGTGGTTACATATTTGATTTTTAGTAACTGCAGTCAAGTATGAGTTGTCTTGTTAACGTATCTTTCAAGCTTTTTGTCCGTTTGCCAATTGTTCCCATTTCTCTGCATGGTTTTCACGTTTCGTATACAAAAAAGGGTACCAATTTCTTCGATACTATATTGAAAATATCCACCGAGCTCGGTTTAACTTTGTCGACAACATTCCAGCAGCAATAAATTCTTTCTTAATACAGTGACTAATATAGATTGGGTTTTACTAAATCTATATTCATATGAAAATGAATTGTATATCTTTACCACTATATTAAGAAATTAACCAATGAATGTGTTATAGATTTATGTTGTTTGTCTATAAATGTGAGTAAGAGGAACATGAATAAATTTACTGTAATAATGGTCTCTACACTTAAATTAATTTAAATATATTTAAACTGATGTAATGTGTAAGTTTTCAATGTAAATTATATGTATGTGCAAGAAAATCATTTAGATTTACTAGTATTTAAAATTGGCAGTTGAAGCATATCTAATTGTTAAAATATTTACACCTATTGTATTGAGTAAATGAATTGCGATTTTTGATTTTTATCATTTCTTTATTTTCCAGTTGTTTAGATGTTGTGAATCTTTTGAATAGATACAAAAAGCTTTTTATGGTGAAAGTAAATAACGTAATAAGAATAAGCTTTGTTTAAAATTAGTTTATTATGTTCTGTTCTGGATTATGTAAGATTTTTGAAATTAAATATATATTTTGAGTTACTAGATATTTTATCAGATGGTTTGACTCTAGGGAGAATGACTTACATATATTTATGCTACATACAACAAATGTGAAAAAATAAAGTTACACTTTTTCAAGTTTGTGAGAAGGGAAAAATTATTCTTTTATTTGAAATCATTTTATTTTCTGCATAAATACAAACAAATGTAAATAACCAATAATTTTATGAAAATGACTTTAAAATATAGAAAATATTCAATAGTTTGTAAACAAAAATTGAATATCAGCTGTAATCAATACTTAAATTTCTATTGTAGGCACCCTTTAGTCAAAACATGCCTTTAAAAGCATTATGAAATTTACATCATAAATTTTAATAATATTTAATTTATAATCATTAATAAGTACATAAATTTGTTAAAAAAAATAAGGTGAGAAATTAAATGTTGATTCTTATTGCATGGATTTTGAGCTCTTTACTTCTGCTTAGCAAATTTTTCATTTTACTTTTTGAGTAACAATAATTTTGCTGGAATATATATTTTAAAAATCTTTTCTCTTTAGTTATACTAAACTTTAAAATTGAGATGATTTGTTTTTGGTGTGCTGTTAATAACATTGCTTTAAGTTCTAAGATTTAGGCTTACATATTTATAACACAGACTTACAGTAGCTGTTCAGAATTTAGTTTCTAGATGGTTTGTAAAGTTATTGTTTTAAAAAACAGGAAATAATTTTCTCATATGTATTATAGTTATTACAAAAACTTAGGAATCAATAGTTTAATGTGATTATATTTTATAGATTTCAATCAATATTTTATATAAATTTTCTATACATAACAGTTGTTGAGCTTGTTTTTAATAAATTGTTATTAAATCAATAGATTTGAATCTGTATTTTGTTTTACTGATTTTTCCCGTATCTGTATTTTGTGATAAAATACTTGTCTCTAGAGAATAATATATATCACTATAATTCTTGAACAAAACTGAACTTTCCAGCAAATGTTTAGTTTTTACTTAAGTAAATTTTCAGATCACAAAGTACTGAAAGAAAGACTAATTTATTTTCATTTAAAGATATGTATTTATATCTTATTGATTTCACTTTTACTTGGAATTAGTATTTTAAGTTTTTATACATAAACTAAACTGTATTGAATTTATATAAATTTATTTTTGATGAATTATAAAATTTTTTTGTTTGAAAGTGTTTAAAGTATTATTATTATTATAAAATTAAGTTTCATGGATTATTTTTGAAATTATTTTTAATAGTTTTGTCAAAATTATTTAACATACCAAAAATAAATGTCTGGAAGCAGCAATAGAGGAAATTTTTGTTGTTTTTAAAGTTATTTTTTGCTTGGATATGACACAAATAGCAAATGGATTTATAAAAGTTCTTAAATTTTATTTCAAAAGCTGAATATATTTTCTTTTAAATTATTTTTCTAGCATGTATATATACACAAAATGTGATCTAAGTTTTGTCCAGATGCTAATTTATATGAAACATTAGAAAAGTATCCAATGTAATGTTACTCATTTAATAAAATATAAAAATTTAACTAGATTTTAATCAAATGTTTTGTATTCTTCAACTAACATCAAACCTACTTAAGATTAAAAGTTTAAATATATAAAGTGACAAATTATTTTGTTTAATGTTCATTTTATTTTATATACTTTAGTTATACAGTAGAGCATCGATTATCCGACCCCCGATTAACAGTCACCTCGGTTAACCGACCACGTTCTAGTCGGCAAATTCAAATGTCCGCTAGTGATGTGGCGCTACAATATTTGGCTATGTCTTGGCTATTTTAATATTATTTTTACGTGTTTTAGCTGGCAACATGGCTCGACCATGAAATGGAGCCAGTATTTAAACGAGGCTTAATTTTCTAATTTTTAACAATACAATAGCGACGATTATTACTTTAAAAAATTTTTGTTAGGCTTAACATCGATGAAAATTCAACGCGAAGTAGGTTAATAGCGATATACTAATATACTAATTACATGGGATATAATAATATACTACACTAATAATGGATTTTTTCATACTTTTCGGTTATCCAACTTTTCAATTATCTGACCAACCCCAGTCCCCAATTGAGTCGGATAATCCAGGTTCTATTGTATATATTTTCAATTAAATCATTATTGAAAAATATTGATTAAAAGAATTGTTCAATGATGGAATCCCTTTTCTAAATATCAATATTTTTGAATGATGGATCCCTTTTCTAAATATCATGTATTTCAATATTTGGTATTGTTATGCATTATATTTAAACAGCTAATTAAACTGTTAAATGGAAAAACTATTTGGAATAAACAAACAACAGCTTCTATGAGAACTTACTTTCAAATACTTCTGGGGCAATTTTGAACACATTTTATCTTAATAATTGGTCTAAATGACATTGTAAATAGACTATTTTAGACTTGACAAAAAACTGGAAAGTTGTTTTTTTTACAGATGAATATCAAATGAAACACATACACTTGGCTATTTTAATATAATATAAAATAAAATAAACCTTTAACTATCCAGCAATAAAGATGTTTAATTAATAAAAACGTTTTCAACCGTTTTTAAACAGCCATCTTCAGTTGAACCAATGTTAAAAAAAGAACACTAAAAAAGAATGCATGAAATACAAATTAAACAGAAACCAAAATGTGCATGCATAATAGGTGTTCTTTTTTAATATTGGTTCAACTGAAGATGGCTGTTTAAAAACGGTTGAAAACGTTTTTATTAAACATTTTTATTGTTGGATAGTTAAAGGTTTATTTTATATTACTTATTCATTCCAGTATAAGTTCTTGCTTTTATTTATTTATTTTAATATAAAACTAAGAATTGAAAATATTTCCTATATTTTGTTAAACCAGAAATAATTTCAATTTTTTTTTATTGCAATGTTTTGAATAGTTTTGTCCAACTTTTTTGATTAACATTCTGCTTTTCTCTTGAACGATGTTCTTTTTAATTTTGGACATTAATCTGAATTAATACATTAACTGGAAGAGGAACTTAAAAATAAATACACACTTTAAAAAGTTACTCTCACAGCTATCTTTTAAATAGACAACATTTTTGATCTAGTTGATGGATCTTCATCAGTAGTAATTGATGTATAAAATTTTACAATGAATAGAACAGAATATAAGTATAAAATGTAATGTTGGAATACAAATAATATAAATTTATTTGTAATACATCAACTAGGTAAAAAAATGTTACTGTTTAAATAAAGATATCTGCTGTAGTCATTTTTTAAGGTGTGAATTTATTTTTTTATCTTTAGTTAACATAATGTACTGTACAATAATTTAACCTGTAATTGTATGTCATAGTGGTGATTTTCTGCACCAACTAGTTTTTTTTGGTAGTAATTCTTTATCAAATTGAAATACTGTGCTTTCATGATATCCCTTTTCCCCCTTATCACAGGCCCACAAAAACCTGCTCAGAAATTTGCCTCTTTTGCATGTTCTTGCATACATTTTTTTTTTACATGATCACATGCATAAGGTGGTGATTTTCTGCTCTGACATTTTTCAATGCAGTTAGTCATGGAGGTTTCTCAAGATTGCTACAAATGGGAGTCATTACTTCATGAATGTTTGTGAACTATGCATGATGTCATGACATAGTTGTCTGCAAATTGCTATGATGGGCTAGACCACTATAATCGGGTGACCAGATTTTTTTCGGCAAATTCACAGACCCATGTCAATCATCACTTTTTAGGGTACAGTGTAGCAGCCAACATGTATAAATACTGTCAAATGGATACTGTACATATGCATGACTGAGACCTAAACATTTTAATTTTGATTGAACTTGTTCACTTCAAATAGCTCTCCTCCAATAAGGTTTATAGCTATTTACTGTTTGTGCTTTTTTAGATATGTTTTTTGTCCATGTTTTAAAGTTTGGCTCTTTTTTGA